TAGTTGTTTGAAGATGTGCCATTCTCACTGAGGTGAGGTGGTATCTCATTGTGGTTTAATTTGCATCTCCCTTATTACGAGTGATGTTGAACATTTTTTCATATGCTTGCTGGCCACCTACATTTCCTGTTTGGAGAAGTGTCTTTTTAGCTCTTCTGCCCATGTTTTGATGGGATTGTTTATTTTTGTTGTCAGCTTAAGGTATTTTTAAGGTTCAGTATCTGACAAATTTTGATAGTTACTCTTTATTAGTATTACTGCATTATAGTATTTTTGGGATATTATTCTAAAATCATGTATTATTTTCATATTTAAGGTAATATAAGTGTTCCGTTAATGTAGATTCTGGTGGGCATTAAGGTCTCCTGTAATAGAAACTAGGCTTTCATATTATTGGATGAAATGTCACTCTCCACACAAAAGACTGATTTCATTTTAACTTTTTTTGAAGGAAATCTTAAGACTTAGAACTTAAGTCACAAGCTAACAAGAACCTACAGTCTGAATAATTTTGCAAAATCAAAATTTTTTGAAAAATCAAAAGTTTTTACAAAACTTTTCATACTTAAAAATCATTCTAAGAGTTAATGTTTTTGCTCATTTTTTTATCTAAATCATATCATTGATAGTTTTTTTTTTTCTTAAACTGTACAACCTATTCTTACCAATGTGAAACTCCAGGAATACTTCCTACTTTAATTTATGTAGGGTTTTGGAACTCATTGTTATATTTTTTCATTCCACTTACTCCCTTATGGGGATATAATGTTTATCAAGATGACTAGGGTACACAAATTATTTGGCCAAAGATGTCAGTGCTGTCACTGACATGAAACTGAAATGTCAAGTTTCACTGTTGTGAAACTCTGCTCTAGGATTCACATTACACACCTTTTATTATTACAGTATCCCTTTACCTACACATTTTCATGTGTGGTATAACTTTACAACAGTATACTTTGATTTTCCTCCCACCCTTCCATCCTTTGAGTTTTAGTGTTTACATTGTGTTCGTGTTTACATATGGGAACTCCTTGCAGGCATTGTTTTAGAAAGATAATGTTTATCCAGATACTAAGAAAAGCTAATTGAGAAATTGGGGAAAAGCAAATAGTGTTATAATTCTGTGAAAATTAAACCTTGATGATCAACATGGAGATCTTGTTAGTTCATGGAATCTACTAATGTCAAGTTAAAAGCCAGAAGTGATGCATGTGAAGTTGAAAGTTAAGGTTGACATTTCCTAGAACTTAGGAGGGAAGTGGTCATATCTAGTCACTTGGTCTTGCTGATGACTGTTGCCATGTGTTTTGTAGCCTTGTCTTCAGTTAATGAGTCAGTCTTAAAAATAATATACAATACTATGCTAGTGTATATAGTATACATAGTATACAAATTCTATGAATGATATACCAGGAAATAACAAATATAGCAGTCCTACCTTATCTTCAAGGGATATGTTCCAAGAACCTCAGTGGATGCCTGAAAGTCCTGATAGTATTATACCCTATATATTCTACATTTGTTAATATAAATATATGTCTGTGATAGTTCAGTTTATAAATTAGGCACAACCTTTTCCATGCAACCTAGAAAAGGTTCCACATTGTTCCTGCTTCACATAGTAAGTTAAAGGAAAACTTCCACAAAGTGCAAAGAGCCCTTGATGTCCTGCAAATGATGGACAAATTCATTGTAGCAGGAACCCAGTTAGGTGGCACCAACCTTGACTTCCAAATGGAACAGTACATTTACAAATAGAAAAGTGATGGCAGCTTCTGGCATTGTTGTGTTGAAATCCTGACTGATGTTGATGTCATATTCTCCAGGAATACTGGCTGGCAAACTGTGCTGAGGTTTGCTGCTGCCACTAGAGGTCTATTCTTACCTACTTCTGAATCTTTCATTATAACTAGATTCAGACAGTTTTCCAGGAACCAAGACAATATTGGTTACTGATCCCAGAGCTGACCACTGGCCTTTTACAGAGGCATCTGATATTAACCAGCCTACCATTGCTATGTGTAACAGACCCTCCTTTGTGCTGTGTGAACATTGCCATCCCCTGCAACAACAAGAGAATTCACTCAGTGGCTCTCTTTTGGTGGGTACAACTAGGAAGTTCTATATGTGTGTGGTAACATCTCCCAAGAGTCCCTTTGGTGGATCATGCCCAGTCTCTGCTTCTACAGATACCCTGAAGAAACTGAAAAGAGCAAACAGGTTGCTACTAAAAAAAAGGCCATGTCCCAGCAGTAATTTCAGACTGAATGGATTCCTCCAGGTCCTGAAGTGGCTACTCCATCTAAGGTGGCAGATTTGAGCTAAAGGCATGCAGGTGCTCTTTGGGCTCACCCAGCATTTCCCACAGAAGAGTGAAGTGGATAGCCTGCCCCTAAAGACTGGTCTGCAGCTCCCATGGCTCAGACCTCTGAATGGATAGGACCACCATCTTTCAGCTGCTCTTCCACAGACTCTTAAATAGAAAAGGGAAATAAGGTTGATGGAAAATAGTTTTAATAACTAGAATAGAAAAGGTCCGTTATTACAGTATACAGTAATAAAAGTTTCTCTGCCTCAGAATATCTTATTGTGTATGTCTTTTTTAACCATGGGTTATTAACATTGCAGAAAGTGGAACAATGGGTAATGGGGCAGGGGTTTGGGGAGACACTGCATTGGTAGCATGTAGTTTTCAGTAACTTTTCCTTTTGAGGTATATGCATTGTCTAGGTTCTGCTAGTTCTCCCATTTGTTAGAATCATTTGAATCATACTTCTTTCCTAGTGATTGAACCTCAGTTGTATCACCTGGTGTGGCAGTTGTTGCTGCTACTATTCTTACGCAAGCCATATAGAACTCCCTATTGGGACAAAAGAGCAAACAAACAAACAGAAAACCTCCTTATCTAATCTGCCAATTTTAAGGGAAAGATATTTTTTACTTGTTTAACTGGTTCTTATTATGGAAAATAGTGAAAATTTTATGAGTATCTACACTTTCGATTACAATCTTTTCAGAAGGTGTTACATAGTGTTCTTACTACTAAGGTAGGAGTCTGTGTTCAAATCTTAGCTTGTTTCTACCAGCTGCTGTCTAGATCCCTTAGGAATAATAATGTCCCTAATAATTGAACACGTGTGTGTGTGTTCAATTATATATGTAGGGGTCTGACTCATTATCTTCTTATATGTATATATATGCGACATGTGGTAAATGCTCATCCTTTCCACCATAACACATAACACAACTAAATAAGAACTTGAGTTCTGGAACCAAATAGACTGGAGTTGTAATTTCAACTTCTCACTTTGCTACTTTGGTAAGTTTTAACTTTTTGAATCTTATATTCCTCATTTAAAAAATGTGTGTAATGGGCCCTCCCTGGTGGCGCAGCGGGTTAAAGCACTGCACTGAGAAGCTAAAGCCACTTCCGCATGAGTTCGATCCCAGCCTTCCCCGAGGTGACCACATGGCGCGGCAGACCTCTCCTGACCCACCCACTGCTCCCCTCAGCAGTGTACTTCATTGATCTGCCTGTTCTGCTCCCCACTCTGTCTTTGGTGAATCCTCTCACCGCCCTGCATCTCTGGCCTGTACCAGTTCTGTATGCACAAATAAATAAATCTTTAAAAAAAAAAAAAAAAGTGTGTAACAAGGACCTCCTTGGTGATGCAGCAGGTTGGAACATAGCACTACGAAGTGGCCGAGGCCACTTCAGTGTGAGTTGGATCCCTGGCTCTGGAGGTGATACACATGGCAAGGCAGACCTCTCCTGTCTCACCCACTGCTCCTCTCAGCAGTGTATTTTAGTCAGTCTGCCTGTCCTGCTCCCCACTCTGACTCTGGTGAATTCACCACCACCCCTGCACTCTGGCCTATGCCCCAGTTCTATATGCATAAGTAAAATCTTTTAAAATGTGTATGACAACATCAAAATAATAATAGCAACTAAATTTTGGGAAAGTTTATAACAATATGATTAACATACATGTAAAAATTAAGTCTAAACAATGCTGGGCATATAGGCAGCATGCAAGAAATACTGGCCTTTTTTACTATAATCACTGTCACATAATGGATTATGTAATCCATAATCCTGGAGTGGTTATCTAGCTACTTCTTGAATGCTTTCCTTAGATGATATTCAGCATAACTTAATTACCATTGGATACTTTCACCTCTGAATATAATCCTGTTGTTATGTATACTATGTAACTATAGTAAGCCGAAATGCTTGCCTTTTCTTTGACAGTTCTGATACTCTCAAAAATTGCACACTGTTTTGCTTTAGGTCAGAGATGCGTGAGAGTGGAAGACATGGCAGAGAACTTGAAGAACATTTCTGCTTTTTAGCACTTCCTCAAAGTGATGTGACTGACATATATCGGAATGGGATGTGTACCAAAGCATCTTCATTGAAGATTTTAGGAAATCCCCTTCTTGGAATTTATATATTTAGACATGTTGATGTTGCCTTGAATTATGCTCATAGTAGAAGCATTACTGTAGAGAGTATTATAATTTTCAAGGTAGGTAGCAGGGAATAAGTATTGTATTCAGTTTGCTTTAAATTGACTGGAACTTTTCCTTTCAGTGTTTTGTTCTCTTTTATTCTTTAAGGATAGAAACCAAATGTACAGTTTTTAACTATGTGACTTATTCAGTTGTACAAACTCAAAGTAGTGATTCATGTGGTTTTTTTTCCAGAGACCTTTTATTTTATTTTATTTTTTAATAGTTTACATCATGTTGTCCCTTTTCCAGTTCAGTTGTATTCCCCGTGGGATGACTCATGTTTTTAAGTGAAAATAGTTGTATCTATGACTGTTACTATCATCTGAAATTTTCCTTTATTTCTGACTCTAACTGGCTTTGCAGCATAATACAAAGCTTCAAGTGGACAAAAACACACTTTTTCTTCTTTGTCTCCATGTATATTTTTCTGTCTTAATTGATCACTTGTACTTTGTTCGGACTGTGCTTAATTTTAGTTTGTTTTAAATGTCTTTTGGTTATAATAATTATGACTTAGGCTAAAATTACTCAACTCTTAATTTTTTATATTAGTGAATAGTAATAGTCAATGTTAATTCTTAATTTTCATAGTTTTGTATGTGTTCTATATCAGATATTAACATTGGGTGAAACAGGCTAAAAACATAAGACCTTTGAATTACTTTTATAATTTTTCTGAAGTCTGTAATTATTCAGAATTGAAAAAATAAATTTTATAGTTTGATCTTAAGCATCAATAGGCAAAATTAGTTAAGATATATTTTTTGGCTATTGTAACCCTGCCAGTACTACAAAAATCACAGTAAGTAGGCATCATCCTACCTACTTCATGTAATGTAGGATGTGTGTATGTCCACATAAAGCCATTGTTCCATTTGGTATGATGGCTTACATATTGAGACTTCAAGTATTGTCAAATTCATAACACATAATTTATATTAAAAGTAATACTACTGATTGTAGAAAGTTTAGAACACTGTAACAAGCTCCCCAAAACCCATTAATAAATGTACAGTTTATTACAGTTTATACAGTTTTTTTGTATGTCAGTAATTAGTCTTCTGTTGATGTACATGGATATGCATCTATAATTATAATTAAAATGCTGCTTTACATGTAACTTGCTTTTTGAAATTGATAATAAACAATTTTTTGTGCATTAAATAATCTGTAATAATATTCTGAATGACTACAGTATTCTACTATACAACTCTACCATAAATTTTTATAACAATTTTTTAATATTGAGATGTAAGTTACTTGGTTTTTGTTTTTATACTTTTAAATATTGCCTTGTAGTTTTATTTTTACACACAGTGATGAGTATTTGCTAAGAATTGATTAATTCTTCAGTATCAATTAAGAGTAAAAGATATGTGCTTCACTTTTACAGTTTTGATATATAATGCCCAGTTAACCTGAGAGAGAAATTGATACTTCTATGCATAGTGAGTGGGAATGTCTGTTATCTCAGCATTGTAACTATATAGTACGCATTTTTATTCATGTTGCCAGTCCAAAATGTGAGAATTTCTCATTGTTGGGTCAGTTTTTTCATAGCTATTGCTGAGTTAAAATGTAATCTGCATGCATTCATTGACAATATTTACTGAATTTGCCTATTAATATTCTGAGCTATGTTCTTTTTATTTCTAATTTATTTATAATCATTACCACTTCATGAAACCATATCTTGAGATCTAGATTTTCTCTATATAAATCTTATTTATTTACTAGTAATTGTTTTTATTTGAGAATAAAGTTTTAATTTACAAAAAAGTTACTAAGATAGTACAATTCACCAATCTTTCTGTAATTTAACATTTCATATAAACAAGGATTATTTGTCAAAATTAAAAAAGCTAATACCATATTCATCAATTATATTTCAACCAATAAATAATAAGTAGCAAAATATGAAGAAACTGGCATTGGTACAATACTAACTAAATTATAAGCTTTATTTGACTTTTGTCAGTTTTTCCAGTCATGTATTTTTCTTTCATGTCCAAATGGAGGATGCCACATTATTTTTAGTATTATTTTAATTTTGAGTGAATGTATTACTGTATTTTACAAATAGTAATAAAATTGCTGACTTTAGATAAATTGTGTGCTTATTTTCATATTAATTGAACTCCCACTTGTTTTTAATCACTTATTTTGTGTTTTTTTTAATTTTGTACTCATCTGTTTTTGATGTGTAGAAGTGCTATAATATCTTACAATGAACTGTTTGTGTTCATAGTTTCGTGTGCTTAGATAAGAATTTTACTTTAAAATTAAATAAATACTTGCTTATATTTCTTTAAACTATTTTCATTATTTAAGTAACTTGATTAGCATTTATTTTGGTTTATAAATTAAGGAATTTATTTTAGTTCTTTGACATTATTTATTGAATGTTTTTGCTTCACTTCTACTACAAGTGTTACTTTTAATATTGTGCTATAATTTTATACATGCTTGGACTTGTTTTTTTCCTCTGCCTTTTTTTTGTGGTATTAGCAGTCTCTTCAAAAGTGCAAATCACTGGTCCTATTGTATCATTCTCTGTTACCAAAAGCTTCTTTTCACAGTCTTCTGGGCTTTGGTTTTTAGTCTTCAGATAGGTTTTTAGACTAGAACTCATTCCTACAAATATTTTCTCATTTTTTTAAGATGGAATTGATGTAATGTTAAGCCTTCTAATTCATCTGGGACATGGATTACCTTTCTACTTGTATTTCTTTTGCTCTAAAGAGAGTTAACTTTGCTTTTCTGTTCAAAATAGATTTTCTAAGTGTTTTTATGCACCTTTTTATCTTTTTTTTTTTTTTTTAGGTTCTCTTTGGAAAAGTAAAGAAAATTCAGCCTTCATTGGACAAAAACAAAGTTTGCTTGGATCCTTCTCCTAACTTTGATTGCCATATGTCTAGAACTGTACCTTCTCTTAAAGATACCATTGAGCTACAAGCCTACAGTTCTGTAGTAGGTTAACTTTCTGTTCATTTTATTACTCGAAAGTCACATGCTTCATATTGTAGGATGCAAGATCTACATTGACTTACCAAAATATTAAATGCAAATTGTTTTAATTCAGCAATAAAATAAACAGCAATAACTAGTAAAAGCTATTTTAATATATGTGGTTTTAGAATAGAAAAGTTTCCAAATTTACATTTAACTTTGTACAGAGTACAGTAGCTGTTTTTATTTGCACAATTCATAGATTAATTCCTAACTTAAAAAACATACCAGCTTCTCTATTAAAAAAGACTATTTGGGGGCCCTCCCTGGTGGCACAGTGTGTTAAAAGCACAGCACTAAGAATCTAAAGCCACTTCAGCATGAGTTCGATCCTCGCCCCAGAGGTGACCCACATGGTGTGGTAGACCTCTCCTGACCCACTTGCTGCTCCCTTCAGCAATGTACTTCTTCAGTCAGCCTGTTTTGTTCCCTACTCTGTCTCTGGTGAATTCTCTCACCACACCTGCACCTATAGCCTGTACCTCAGCTCTGTATGCATAAATAAATAAATCTTTTTTAAAAAAGGCTATTTTGAAATGTTACATAGTTATAGAAATAAATATACACACACAAACACGTGTATACATATACACAAACACGTGTATACATATACACAAACATGTTTATACATCTACACATACATATATGTATATGTGTGTATATATATATACGTGTGTGTGTGTGTATACATACATATATATAGCATCTGTTTTTGCTGATGTTAGTAGCATACTAAAGAGAATGATGTGGGGTTAAGTCTCAGCACCATGAAGCTATCTGCAGCCACTGCAGCACAGTTCAGTCCACAGCCAGAGAGCTGACCCATATGATGAATCAAATCTTTCTTTTTCACCCTCTCAGCACTGTATTTCAGTTGATCCTCCTGTTATGCTCCCCACTCATCTCTGGTAAATCCTCTCACCCCCCAGCACCTCTGGCCTACACTCCAGTTCTTGTATGCATAAATAAATATACTTGTATGCATAAATAAAAAAAGAAAATGTAAAAAATCACATATCGTCCCAAAAACTCATGTTGAAGAAGGTGCAAATGAAAGGAAATGAATAAATCACCATGTAATTTGGATAGCTTATTAAAATATGAGCTTATTCAGGTACATCAATGTAAACAATAATATAAAAATGTTCTGTCTTAATCTTTCAGGTATACTTGTATGAATACAATGTTCTCTCAAAACCAGTAGATAAACCAAGGCAGTGTCTTCCATATGCAATAATAACAGTAAAATTTATTGGTCAAAAAACAGATAATGGACATCTCATGCCATCTTTGAGATTCCTCTCAACAGGATTTCCTAAAAGGACTGGTAAGATACTTAACATTATTCTACTTCAATAGCATTTGTTCTGGTCTTACAACCTTTGAATAGTATTTTAAAGATAATGTGATATACGTGAAGATGTATTATTTTAAATTTATATTAATCTCTAAGTGCTTTATGTATTTTTGAGCTTATAGAGCTAGAATTATACTACAGGTATTTTGGTAATTTCATTTGGTCATTATTGTGTTTGTGATTTCATGTCAATATGGATAATATAGTTTATTCATTTTCATGCACATACACACAGTCAAATTATTCTACTTTGTAACTATACATTGTTTTGTCCCTCTAGACATTTTTGTATCTGTACCAAACATTTCTACTTTAAACATTCATATATATCAGCATATAAAGTTTTCTGTGTGTCTCTACATCATAAATGTGTAACTTAATACAGTTTTAAAAGTATTTGTGTCAGGTTACATAATTCCTCTATGCATTTTTAAAAAAATGTTTCTGCCAACTGTTGTGTGATATGTTATCATTTTCACCTCAGAAGGAAACTCTGTACCCTTTAAAAGCAATTCATTTATCCTCATGTCTCCTGGTGTCACCATGGATGTGACAATGCCCATACATCATATGTGGCTATTTAAATTATTTTAAATTAAAATTTTAAATAGCCCCATTACCTTTAAAGGAACACTTCCTTCATATATGGTACTAGTAACAGTTGGGTAGCTTGCTTCATTGATTGCAGTTTCATTTTGTTGTAGTTTCTTGTATTATTGAAGATGTTGGGTTTATTCTCTACTTCCTATTTGTTATTTGGTGAGAATGCCAAAAATATGAATAAATTTGATATGCCTTTATACTATATAACCTAGTGATTAAGGTTCTACTGCTTATAAGCTATGATCCTTAGCACATTATCTTTAATGTTCTCATTGATAAACTGACAATGTTGGGCAAATGAAAGTACTGTAAGTACTTTAAAAAACTATACTTGGAATCTAAACTAAACACGCTTTAAGTTATTAACATTACATACATACATCTATGCATTCACCAAACTCTTATGAAATTGCTATTATTAAACATAAAAGAATAGGTTTCTTTTCCCATGGTTGGTTGTATTTATATATCTTAATCTTTGTAATAACTGCATAGCATTCTGTTTCTAAGGCCTTTATTACAGCATAAGTAAGTAGTACTTTTACTATTACAGTTCTTGCTAGGCTATATCTGTTTAACTAGCCTTACATTAATAGATATTTAGGTTTTAGTTTTCATCTTTCTTGAATTACTAAACTAAAAAATTCTTATGACTTTGGTATTTGTGCAAGTATATATGAATAATGTACAAAAGTAGATCTGAGGAATAGAAATGATATACACTACATTTTAATGAACAGTGTTAATTTTGAGGAAATTAGTACCTGTTTATACACCCATGTACAGCATGAAAGAGTGCTTACATCCGCAGAGCATTAATTATCCTTCTAATTCTTTGCCAATCGAAAAAATTCTCGTATGAATCATACTGTTTATTTAGTGAAGCTGGTTGAAACTTTTCTGTGTTTATTGGCAATTTTCCATTTAATCTGACTTTCTTGTTCATATACTTTTACCTACTTTCTCATTTTGTGGCTCTTTACCAATCTTAAAAAGATGTCCATCTACTTTTACATTTCTAATATATGTGTATTGGTGTGTGTATATATAGATATATATCTCATATATGTATATATGTATATGATATATATATATATACAGTAAGCTCATTTCATTTTTAATAATGCTTTTTACAGATTTATCCTGTGTTTTAATATGCATTTTGATGTACTAAAATATTTAATGTACCTGTAATTGACATCATAGTTTTTCTTTTTGGCTTTCTGATTTTCAGTTATGTATTTAAATCACTTTTCTGCCCCAAGGATAATAAAACTGTCCCTTCACATTTTCTTCCAATATGTTGTGTTATTTTTACAATGAACTTTATTATTTTTTATTTTGTTATAAGAAGATACAGAGATCCACCTGTCCATTTAGCTTCCACTCTTAAGAATTGCATGTCTATTTGTAGTCCTAGTTCCAGTGTAGCTTATAATTAAAAAGTATAATTACAAATAATTATAGAATTTAGAAGTCTACAACATAGCTACCCTTTCACTACTGTGAAAAAGCTTATGGTTCTTTGAAGTGATATGATTAAAACTTAATATATGTCATAATCTCACAAGCAGTTTCTCAATTTCTATTTTAGTTCACGTCTTTTATGGCGTTGCTTACCTGTGAGTGCCTTATTACCATTTTACTTATCAAATATGCACTTTTATAAATTCCTTTGTATTACATAAGTTCCTTGTGAAATTTTAGGAACACATTTCTGTAAATTATAAAAGAAAAATTATTTTTACATTCTCAGTTTTACTTATATATACATTATTTGCAAGAGTACTTACTATACAATGGAGGAGGGGCAGAAATTTGCTTTGTCCCATGTCACAGAATTTTTGGCACTTTTTTTATCTTTTCTCCTCTCCATCTTATTCTTTTCTTGGCAATTTTTTTTCCCATGATAAAGGGCAAAGAAGCAAAATAACAGTATGTAGAGAGCCAGTTTTGTCTATTATTGTATAGATTCTGTTGTTAAATATCTTAGTACATGAAAATATTTTAAATACTTCATCTATGAGCAACATGCTTTCAATCCTATTTTCTATTTCTTAGAATTTGTCAGAATTAAAATTTTCATAGCAGATACTGTTTTCAGTAAGGACTAAGACTACATTTTATGCTAAATCATTTCATTTTATTTATTATTCATTCTCGCTTGCCTTTATTCTGCTGAGAACTCATTTTAGTCATAATTAGGTTATTTGATCAGTTTTCAATTTAAATCACTTTTGACACAGTTTACTTGTATTAGTTGAGTTGTCTATAGAAACCTCTTTTTTTCCTATTTTCTTTATTTTCACAGAAAGAACATGCTCTCTTAATAACTGTACAGTGGCCAAAAGAATTGGAAAAGGAAAAGATGCTACTGTCATTTTTGAGCATTTTAGGAAACCAGTAGATCCATTTGTTCAAGAAAATTGTTCATGCAGTACACTAAACTCAGATATGAATCCTTCCAACTCAAATATTTCCAGTTCCTATGGAAATGTACAAAGTGGAAACATTTCTATACTTGAAACATATAATGGAGAGATGGAGCACAATTTAGCAGAATCTCAAGACAAGTTTAAAGCACGTACTTATGATTCAGGACTTTCGTTTATTCCTAGTGATAACAAAGACAGTATTAATGGTGATCTCTTACTAAATTTGACACATCTTAAAAATGTTTTAAGTAGTATTTCTGCTGCCTTTCCCCTTCAAAACAATATTGACTCAAGCACAGTTATTACTTCAAAACTCATCAAAGACCCAAGACTAATGAGAAGAGAAGAAAGCATGGGAAAACATAATAATTTTATAGGTTTAAATGAGATTTTGCCATTTGAGAAAAATTTAGATTTTGTTAATTCAGAAATAAACCTATCATCTATGCCAACTAACTCTGTCTCCTCCTCTGAAATAGTACCTGACAATCATGCTATTCTCCCTAACTGTTTAGGAGCTCCTTGCTTTAAAATTTCTTTTGATGATTCACAACCACAGGCTCACAACATGGACTCTAAGGACAATAATTATACCACTGCCAATGAAATTACCATGGTACGACAGTGTGAAGACCAAGATAATTTTTCCTTCCCAATGTGTTTGTCAAATGTAGTTTCAGAAAATGAGATTCAAAATTGCAGTGATGGAAAGAAACAGAAATCCCAACAGTGGAGCAACAACTTGCTTTTAATTGAACAAAATAGTGAACCTCATGATTCTTGTGAATCAGTGAACACTTGTATGAAAAAGAACAATAATCCCATCTCTCAGGAAGCACAGTCTTCTCATTTAAATCCTGTATATCAAACTGGCTACCATATGTCTACATTATTTCCACTCCAAAGAAAAGAAAATACAGATGAGTACATTCAAAATAGGGGGAAAATGAGAAACTTGACTGGCGCAGAAGGCATTTCCAAGCATGGAGAAAAGCAAAAATTGTGGAAAGAAATTGATAACTGTTTTACCAATGAAACAAAAGTCAATCCAGTAGATAGATATATTTCACTGTGCAAAAAATACCCAAAAAATGAGATTCTTGATTCTTTGAGGGAAAATTGTGATCATATATTAACTACTGAAGAATTAGAAATACCACAGTCTTCTATGTCTACTGTAAACAGTAAGTATAAGGTAGATCATTTATCTTTGGAACTTCAAAATGACCTTACTCCAAGAGAGGAGAATCTTCAACAAAAGTATCCCCAGTACTGTTTGGAATATGAAGATAGTGTGCATATAAGTTTTGCTATTTCTCAAAAACTAATGGAACTGGCATTGGAAAAATCTAATCAAAATTACTTTAACATTGTGAGTGGTGCTTTCCAGGAAGGAAAAGGCATTCCTCAGGACACAGAGCCACTGGTTTCATCTCATAACATTAAAAGAACTTATGAAAATTCAGATTGCAATATAGCAAAAGAAAATAGGTGTGTCCAGAGGAAAAATGAAAACGAGCCAATGTCATTAGAGAACATTCAGAGAAACTGCAAAGGTCAAGATCATACTCTGTTCTGTAATGCACAGTTGAACAGTGATAAACATCTAAATGTTAATTTCAAAGAACAAGTAGATAATGGTAAAGAAAACCAAAATAAGACTAAAGACAAAGACATTGCTTTATCTGAAGAAAACAACATAGAGAATATTTATGAAGATGAGAAGCAGGGCTTTCATATAAACCAAAAATTCACAAATTTAGATGAAAAGAATAAAAATTACAATAGTGTAGAAATTCTGAATTCTGAAGCATTTTCCACCACATTTAATTTAACTTGGGAAAAATGTGTGCCAGCAATATCTGCATTATTTGAAAGTGAAGATGTTGTCACTGCCATAAAACCAAAAGATTCCCATAATACCAGACAAAGTGTAGAGCATATGCCTTCCACAATATTTCCTGAAATTGCAGTTTCTTCAGTGTATGTAACCTCAAATACTGCAGTACAGATAACTGGAACTGCAGTGCCTGTATTAAGTACAAATCCTGAAGATCACCAGGGACACCAGTTTAAAGAAACTTGTTCTTCTCAGAGTAAAGATTATAGTCTGTTAATAAAACATAGGGTTTCTGATTGTGCAATGGATATGGATAAAAATGAATTGTATGACTCACTTCCTCAGTCAATAAATGATAACTTACTTCTTCAAAGTTTTGAAATCGAAAATGAGATTGAAATAGAGTCAGAAGTGTGTGATGATACTTTTCCACTTCAACAAGATACTCTTAGCAATGAAAATGTACTGTATGAAGAAGTTGAGTCCTCATATGAGGCTCTGAAGTCTCGTATTGATTGGGAAGGCCTATTTGGAAACAATGGGGAGACAGAAGTTTTGCAAAGCACCACAAAAAGGGAAAATAGTGATCAGCATTACTTTGAAGAAAGTAATTGTTGTTTCTCCTCTGCACAGAAAAACAAAGCAAATCCAATTTTACTTCCAGACCTACAAGTTAGTATAACTAATATATTTGTACCAAGAGTCAGCCCCACTGTTAAATGCCTTGCATTGAAAGACAATTTTTGCAAATGCATAACTGAAGCCATAACACCAGCAATAAATGAAGAGGAGCAGAAAGTTCCAGTATCTGAAATTAATTCCCAGTGTTCTGGTGAAAATTCAGACTATCCATGTGAAAAGAAGTTTGGTAATATAAGACAAGAATCAGTACCAGAGAGTGAATCTGAAATCTTGTTTTCTTTTGACTTGAGTCATAAAACACACATTAATCACATAAATAAAAAGCAAAATGGTGAAACTTTGCTTCCTGAACCATCCAATGTCACAACAATAAAGAATGAAAACAGATGTGACTCTGCAGAGTCAAAAACTGATGGTAATGATACTAGAAATAAAAAGGATACAGATTCAAGAAATAACAAAAGAAAGCCACATACATCGTTTAAGGACCAAAACATACCACAAAAAGATGTGAGATATCACGAAATTTGTGGAAAAAAGAGGAAGCTGACCTGTCAAGATTCATCTGAATGTTTTGCTTCTTTATCCCAAGGACGAATTAAAACCTTTTCACAATCAGAAAAGCACATTAGGAATGTTCTGGATATTCTAAATAGTGAAGTATCTTTATGCAAAAGCAAACGTCTTTCCAGAAAACTGGACAGAGCTGTTCTTCACCTAAAAAAAGCTCATAGACGAGTTCACACGTCTTTACAGCTTATAGCTAAAGTAGGAGAAAAAAGCAAGAGCCCATTACCAAAATCATATGCAATAATATGCAATAATTTCTGGGAAAGTTGTGATCTTCAAGGTTATAGTTCTGTGTCTGAAAGAAGATATTATTCCACCAAGCATTTTTTGTCAAAAAGGAAATATGACAAACCAGGAGAAAAAAGAGCTTTGGGATTTGAAGTTGATAAATCATTAACTCATGCATCAAAGCACAAGTTTTATAAAACAAATAGAGAGAGACTCAAAAGGTGCCTTCCTAAGGACAACCTGGCCAGCAGTGTTTCCAGAAGTCAAACCACTATTCATGTGAGAGAATTTTTTGATCAAATGTACTCTGAATCACAGTTACCTTTGTGCTCTACATCACAAAGTACCAGTCAGTCTGCTAATAACAATGGCAATGTAAAAAATACAGAATCCTTAGATCTCCAGCCATTTTCTGGAAAAAGTGGCCATCTCATTTCCTCCGTTTGTCCAGATGATAAACTAACTGAAAAAGAAAATCAAATTGATATAAAAGTTTTGTCTAACAATAAATATGAAGAACTTGAAAACAATTCAGCATGCAACATTAAGGGCACAACAAAAGAAAACAATTCTGAGACTATTGAAGTAATAAATAAAAATTCATTAAGTGATATAAATGAACACAGTGTAAGTTTTAGCACAGACAAAAATTGTGATACAGCTTGTATAGCTCACACAAAAGTGAAAACTAATGTGCTTATTTCTGTCTTAGAACCAAATGTGAAGCACTTCTTAAATGTTGATATCTGCAAACCAGAAAACCTCATTTTGACTGACTTTAAAAGAAATGTTGAAGTAGAAAAATCAGCTACTCCTGTTGAGAGCTCCAAACCAGGCATTATTACAGGAAACGTCACAATTGACCCAATAAATCTAACTCTGGTGACAAGCAAAATGTGTGGCAATATTCCTCAATTGTTATCTGTTGCTCCAGTGATAGATAGTAAAAGAGAATTTTCAAAATCTTATTTGGATGAACAGAGAATTTTTGCTGTAGACTCATTTGTAACATCCACCACTATACCACACTACCAGCAAGAATGCAGTGGACAAGAACTGCTAAAGACAAAACAGTGTTCTTCAGATAACTGCTTCCATGTAGACACAAATGATACAAATGTTATTGAGAATTCCAAATTGGATCTAACCCCGATAACTGAAGAAAGCAAAAATTGTGGGGAAAATAGAATGAGGAAACTATTTTCTAATGATACTTCTCTGCTTTTAAAAGATAACATAAAGGGTTCTTGTCCCCAAAAATGCATCTTAGAAAAAGACATTCAAAACAAGAAAACATGGAAAGTTAAACACACAGAAAAAACAAAAAATTTAGTTGACAAAAGAAGCTTGATGGGTGCATCCACTGTTAAGACTGAGTACAAAAACCAAAAGAATAAAATCTTAGAAGGTTATTCTTGCTTAAGTGAGAAAGCAATTAAAAATAACTTGACTGATTCTCATCTAACCATTAAAAATACAACTGAGACAATTTCTTTCAATAGCACAATTTCTGATTGTAAAAGAGAGGAGGGAGTTAAATTTAGTCATGACTCTCTGGTGGCCTCTACATTGTTTTCAGAAACAGCCTCTAATTCCAAACCAGGAATTATAGGAATAAATCATATGCCTGTTTCACAGGCCCACTCTGAAACCTCTAAAGCTACTACTCAAAAGAGGCCTACCTCACAGAAGAATGAGTTTAAAGAAAAACATTGCTTGGCTGATCATTCTGCTCCTGTAGCTAGGTTAACTCACATTTTAAGGAGAGCAGATGAAGCATCATCTTTGCAGAGTCTACAGGAAGAAACAAAAGTTTGTCAAAATATTCTCCCTTTATTTGTTGAAGCTTTTGAAAGAAAGCAGGAATGTTCACTTGAACAAACTTTGATTTCAAGAGAACTCTTGGTTGAGCAAAACCTATGGAGTAATTGCAAACAGAAGTTAAAGCCATGTGCTGTTGACTCCTTGGTAGAACTCCAAATGATGATGGAAACTATTCAATTCATTGAGAACAAAAAAAGGCTCTTAGGAGGTGAACCAACATTCCGAAGCTTGCTTTGGTATGATGATACATTGTACAGTGAGCTGCTTGGCAGACCTCGTGGATTTCAACAACAATCCAGTTTCTATCCTGGTTTTCAAGGAAGGTTAAAATATAATGCATTCTGTGAGTTGCAGAACTATCATGATCAACTAGTTGAATTGTTTGAAGAAACCAAAAGGGAAAACAATTCACACTATGCAGTCTTAAAATACAAACGACAGATTAATGAATGTGAAGCAATAATGAAGCATTGTTCTGATTGCTTTGACTTTTCTCTTTCTGTACCATTTACGTGTGGAGTTAACTTTGGAGATAGTTTAGGAGACCTAGAAACCTTACGAAAAAGTACTTTAAAGCTGATCAGTATGTATGGGGACTCTCCTAAAGGTGATTCTTATCCAGGAAAACAAGATCATCTGTGGATTATCATAGAAATGATCTCCTCAAAAGTTAATTTTATCAAGAGCACTGAGGCAGTAAGTATTAAAATATCTCTTTATGGTTTCGAACATATATTTTTTGATGCTGCAAAAAGTCTTGTTTGGAAAGAGAGGAGACAGTCTTTCAGCAGAAATTACCCAGGAAAGAAGAACAAAGAAATGCTACTCAAAATGAATCAATGTGCTTTTTCTAAGCTGCAAAAGATATATGATACCTTGTCTAAAGATTTAAGCAGTTCCAATAATGGTTTTAAGGAAAATACTGTGATTGCTTCCAGAAAGTCAGATAACCTGATAAACAAACCAACTATTAGCCTGGAGAACTATAGATTTAATAATACTTTTTCACACCCAGATATCTGTTGTGTTAGTGAAATATTGGATCAAGCTCAACTTGCAGACTTTAAAAAATTACAGGAACTCACTTTGAGATGTACTGATCACTTAGAAATTTTAAAAAAATATTTTCAAATGCTGCAAGAAGATAGCATAGATAATATTTTTATCACAGAAGAAAATGCTTTGGACATGCTGGAAAACCACAGCCATGAGACCACAATGTTAAAACCTGCCGCCACTGAAACATATATTGAAATTGCCATGCTCTCAGAAACAGTTCACTTTCTTAAAAATTCAATGGCTAAGAAACTAGACAAGCCGAGGTTTCGAGGTATGCTTTGGTTTGATATATCACTTCTTCCTGAACTGGTTTGCTGCCAAGAAAGAATGACAACTTTTTCATTTCTTAAAGATAATTCAACAGATTGCCTTTGGAAAGTGATAGAAACTGCTATTTCTGAACTTAAGAAAGATCTAGATATTCTGTACCAATATAATGAAGCTGTTAATTGCTCATATGCTCTTCGTTTGCTATCAAGAGAGCTTGAAGAACTTTCAGAGATTAAAAAACTTTTAAAGAAGTCTAAGTATTCTGTTCCCATGTATATTGACTTTGTGCCATGTATAGCATCCATAAATTATGGAAACACTGTGACAGAATTAGAATACAACTACGATCAGTTTTCTACATTGCTCAAAAATATTACAGCTACCCCTAGGAAAGATATAGGGAAAATGGCCCATATTATGAAAGTCATGAAAACCATTGAACATATGAAGGTAATATGTGCTAAAGATGCTAAATTAACTATTTCCTTTATCCTATGCCAAATGCTACATAATGAAAGGAAGACTTTCCAGGTGAAAAGAAAAGAAAAAATGAATGTTCATGTAAAACCTAGGAAGAGTATCAATAAATCCAGTACTTGTACAAAGGAATCCTCTAGTTCAGAGGATGTAATGAAAAATGTTTTGGATTCTTCTAAAAAGCGACCTATTGTTATAGACAAATGTGAAGACTCTAAAGAACAAGAGAAAAACATTGCTGTTTCCAGTTGTAAAAAACAAAAGGTAACGTGTTTTAAAACAAAGCCTGCATTTTTTTTTACTATCATTTAAAGTCTAATATATTTTCTAATTTATTTGTTTATTCATACAAGAACTAGGGTGCAGACCACAGGTGCAGGGGGTGAGAGGATTCACCAGAGACAGAGTGGGGAGCAGAACAGGCAGACTGACTAAAATATACGGCTGAGGAGAGCAGTGGGCAAGGCAGGAGAGGTCTGCCGTGGGTCACCTCCCTGGCCAGGATGGAGCTCATAATGCAGTGGCTGCAGACAGCTTCATAGTGCTGGCTTTACTCGATGCCCCACCAGGGAGGTTCCTGCATATTCTTTTTAAGAACAAGTGTGTATTCTTTAAGCAGTTTGCAAAATTGTAAATGAGAGTTCTTTAAATATAGCCTTGCAAAATAAACTTAACAGCTAAAGTATTACATTACCTATAAAATAATAAGTCAAGCTATATCTGAGATACTTTACAAATGTTTATTTACAAATTATTTTAGAATGCATTTTTAAACAATGCATTTCAATAGAGTAAAGGAAAGTCCAGTATTATGAATGTGAATTAAGTGAATAACCAAGTACTTAATGAGTAGTTTTGCCCAATTTTGTGAATATAAAAACTGGCTAATAGATCTTTTGTCCTTACCATTACCATACACTTGGAGAACATATTCTTTTAAATAGAGGACTATGGAGAAAATTTGTCTACATAAATACACTTTACTTTAACATTGACTTTAACAAATTTTATGTAGTATTAAATATGTACTTGGCACTGTCCTGACAATTGTACAATCATTAACTCAGTTCTCAACAAAATCTTCGTGATATATGTAGGCACTGTACTCTTATTTAAAGGTATGGAAAGTGAGGCATGGAGGCTAAATAACTTCTCTGAAACCACAGAATGAATAAACAGAATGAGAACCCAGATGCAAAAATAGTATAGTGCCAGAACCCATTTAACAGTTCCCTCTGCTCTGCTCTAAGGCTTCTCTTAAAAACTTTGCAAGAATTTCTTTCTGAAGTAAACATAGAAAACCCTAAATGCAAAATAATAAAGAATTATTTCTTGGCCATTGTAATTGTAATCATTAGTTATATCAAGAGACTAAATTTAGTTGTTTGTTGCACTGTACATTGGAAAATGTAATTTATAACTTAGTTCTAAAGCATAATAAGAATACAACTTTATGTAGTCTATAAACAAAATGGTGATGATACTGAAAAAAGTGTTGTAAATATTTTTGTAAAGGAAAAATTAAAAATTAGATTGCCAGAAAAGGTTTATTACTTTCATGAAAGAACACAGACAAATGCTTTGCCTGAATAAAAATGGTGATAAAAATAAAGAGGGTATCTTAAGTTAATAGGACAAAGATACAGTGCTTATTGGCTTTATTTGAGAAATGAGTTTAAAATTAAGCCTGGAGTAAAAAAATAAAACAGCAGACGAGTAAAGTAAGGAATGTTGCTTTAGATTATAGAATGTTGTAAATAATAGGCCTAGAGTTTGAACTTTGTTCTGTATATATTGAAGGGTAATCCATGTACTATGAAATGTGGGGTTTTTTTTTTCATAATTTAAAAAGTAAAAATTCTGAGTAGAGTGAGAAGTGTAGTAAGTATTTTCATAATTTAAATAGTAAAGATTCTGAGTAGAGTGAGAAGTGTAGTAAGTAGTCCAGAGCACAGAAAAGGGTGCTATTTTATAGAATAAGTATAGAAAGTTCATACTTGACAAACTTAGTGACTGGTTTACAAGAAAATGTCCAAAACAAGGAGCAGTCATAAATGCACTTCATGATGCGAGAATAAAAAGAATGTTGCAGACTCCTTAAAAAGGAAAATGTTCCCCCAAGCAATTGTGAAATATGGGATAGATATTTTTTTAAGATTTATTTATTTATGCATACAGAATTGGGGTATAGGCCAGAGGTGCAGGGGCAGTGAGAGGATTCACCAGAAACAGAGTGGGGAGCAGAACAGGCAGATTGAAGTATACTGCTGAGGGGAGACAGGAGAAGTCTGCTGTACCACATAGGTTACCACCTGGCAAGGATTGAACTCTTGCTGCTGTGGCAGCGGTTAGCTTCATAGTGCTGCACTTTATCCTGTTGTGCCACCCAGGAAGGCCCAAAATATGGGATAGTTATTAGTGAATATAGGTAAATAATTGCCTTATATTAAGATAATAAATATATATGTTATAGTTTAAACCATCACCAATCTAAGTATTCTTTGTATCTTTTAAACATAGATTAACATGAAAGATGTCACAAAAATCAACAAAGAAAAAGCAGTGTTCAAGCATCCAAGGTAGGAATTGTCAGCAGCCCTATCTGAAGAGAATTTAACACAACATAAAACTAAACATATTAAGAAACAAAAACAAAATATTTTTTATATATTGGTTTGTCAGAAAAGTCATGATGTATATTTTCTGTTTTCAAAGGATGTTTATTTATATAAAAAACAAAGATCAGTGATATATTGCCCGTTTTGGTTGATAACCTTTTGTCATCTTTCAGTGAGCTTCATAATTTTTCATTCATAGAAGAACCTATCTTTATAGATGAAACACTAAACAAGGTGCTGATTTATAGCCTCATCTAAATGGAAAGTTACACCATACAAGGAGTTTTGAAGATCGCAAAACAAGTAGAATTCTAACAGCACAAATATGGTGGATATGGAAACACATCCCATCCAAGTTCTAATAGTTTTTGACAGGTGATCAAATGTGTAATCTCATGTTGTTATGATGAAACACAACTTCTTTATGATTAACAAGCTCTGAATGTTTCCAGATGATTGATTCATTGAAACTATCCAATTGCCAACAGTGCACATTCAAATTGGTTCCTTGGTAAGAGCTGAAAAAACACACCACCTTTAAAATCCCACCACTCTTGAGAGCAAAACCTTTGTGTGATGAATGATTCATTTGAGGCAAACTATCACAATTGGGACCAAGACCATTTTACACCACACTGGCAATCCACTTCTCATTACCAGTTATCAGTCACTTCAAAAAAGGTTCATTTTCTGAGCCTCACTGGTGGCCTAAGAAATAAGTCTTAGCATTATCACTCCTACAGTCTTAGTTTGATCCTGACCATGGACCTAAACCACATATGGCACAGCAGACCTCTTTTGTCTCACCCGCTGCTTGCCTTAGTAGTATATTTCAGTAAATTCATCTCTTCTCAACATTCTGTCTCTCATGAGTCCTCTCACCCACCCTCCTTTCCCTTCCCTCTGTGCCTGTGACCTACACACACCAGTTCTTCTATGCAAAAAAAAAAAAAAAAAAAGATAATGCACCACCAAATGAACCACTTTGAATTCATGAGGAATCAAAATATCAAGCTTGCTTACATGTCCCAACTTTTTCAGGTAGGTGTGGACATGGAATGATGGATGTTCAATATTTTTGCAATCTCTACTGTTGTGTAATGTGAGTTTGACAAAAATCAAGCCTTTATTTTGTCATCAGCAAGCTCAGTTGTCCTCTCTCAACCAAGGAGCATTTCTGAGATCAAAATCACCAGCACAAAATTTCTGAAACTTGTTGGCACTGACATTCTTCTATAGCATTGTAACCATAAATTTCATGCAACTTTTCACAAGCTTGACATACATTCTTCCCTTTAAAGAAGTAAAACAGTAATATATGGTGAAAATGCAGAGTTTGGACTGCCATCTTCAATTTATAAAATCTCCAAAACTCAACCAAATTGTTCAATTTTTTTTTTTAGAATGAAGCTAGAATTGTCAATTGCCATATGATTAGCAATTGCATAGGTGTGAATGACTCTAAATTTAACTTCCCATAGTGAACTAGTGCCATTGTTGCAAAATGCATCAGGACTTTACTGACAACATAGTAACTCTGTTGGATCAAGCACATAACTTGAGAGACAAGCTTAAGCTAAGGATAGGAAGAAGGTCATTTCAAGTTATGTACTGTCTTACATCCGGAGGAAGTTGAACTTTATTCTGTGTTGAAGAATAATGTCCTGTGAAATGTGTGTGTGTGTTTTTTTAAAGATTTATTTATCTATGCATACAGAACTGGGGTGCAGGCCAGAGGTGCAGGGCTGGTGACAAGATTCACCAGAGACAGAGTGGGAAGCAAAACAGGCAGATTGACGAAGTACACTGCTGAGGGGAGCAGAGGGCAGGTCAGGAAAAGTCTGCCAACCCATGTGGATCATCTCCCTGTCAGGGAATTGAACTTGTGCTGAAGCATCTTTAGCTTCGTAGTGCTGTGCTTTAACCTGCTGCGCCACCAGGGAGGGCCTGAAATATGTTTTTTTAATTATTTAAATGGTAAGGAGATATTGAGTATAATTAGCAATTGTTAGTCAACTAAGACTTGGGGGCAAATGATGTCTTGCAAAATAAGTAAATTTCATATATGACAGACATTAATAAAATAATTAGTGGGATTTAGTAACTTGATTTATAAAAAGTGGCATGAAAGAATAGGACAGACAAGTGATTGGATTCAATTTTTTTAAAACTTAAGGATCTTACAGCCAATCAGATTTCAAAATAAAGATACAAATTGTTTCAAAAGATACAAATTGCCAACATTTATTATGAATGAAAAATTACAGACACATATAAATATATTACTGTTTTATAAAAGGATGCTTTAATATAGCATGGATAATTGGTCTTAGAATAGTTCTTTAAACTGAATTATTTAAGCAGGAAAAATCACATTATTTATTTTCTTATTTTACATTAGTGTGGTCCTGCTGGTTTTGTTAACCTTGTTCTGTTGAACTCTAAGATTTTTAATTTTGTGACAATTTTTTTTCCTTTTTATAAAGGATAATGAAAAATGCATTTAAAAAGCATCCTCATTTTTGTCTTTCTTGGGTCTACTACTTTAAATTCAACATGTTATTTACTACATTTCTAGAATCCTTTTCTTGGCACCTACAACTCTGAATAGCTATGTACTGACAAAGATGAAAAGGCTAACATAAACCAGTTCTATAACCATCTTAGTTTGAGTGACATGGATGGTATTGCTACTCAATGAATTAAACCTTTTCTCAGCAGAAAAATTATAGGGTACTATCTTCATAAAAGAATAATTCATGCAGGTAGAGATATTACTGAATCATCATTGGAAATATGATAAAGTAAAATTGTATAATTTCTAGAAATTCCTTTGAAAGTATTACATGGATTTGTATAATGTAGGTTGTCATTTAAATAGCCTTTTTAGGAGGCTGGATTCAATTAAATATGGGGCTTGTGTATTAGGGTCATACAAAATCCCAAGGTAAAAATAATTTTGACTGTGGAGAAATAGCACTTATTTTTCCTTTTCAATATGCAATTTAAAACATTTGATAAGACCCTAAAAAATAATCCCTTGGAGACCTATATTACAATTCTCTAGACATTTTAATAATGGGTTCTTCCTTCAGTCTGTTTGAGACGTCTAAATTTAGATAGGAATGACAAGGATATTAAATTGACGAAATACTTCGGGAGTCTGATTTTCTTTTTAAAGTTGGACAAAATACCTTAGTGTGTTTTGTAATGATAGAAAATTATCTTTTCTGGGGAAGGTGGCAGGGGGAGACAAAACCGCCTGGTAGTTCACCAGTTATTTAAAGAGAAAACTGAAGTGTAGGGAATTAGATATTACAATTAAACAAGTTGAATGATACTAATATTGTTCCCCTCTACTAGGAAATATATAAGGCAGATAACCTAATACAATATTGAGAAATGTATTTGAAATGTGGGGTATATCACCTTTAGCAAGAAAGGTATCCATATTCAAACCAGAGTAAAACTGAGAAAATACGTTACTTGTCTACTGCCAATAGTAATAAAAAATGTAAAACTTATCATGAGTAAAAGTTGCAAATATAGATTTATGCTACTATTTTGCAACTCTATATGAAGTTATTTGTATGTATGTGTTTCACTTAATAGGACTACAAAATCTCATCTTGGAAGTGAAAATGAAATAAAACCAGATTCATCAGATAATCAGAAAAGAGATCATATATCTCCAACAAAGGTTGAAATACAAAGATCACTGCCTGGCTCACTTTTACCTGTAAGGAACTTGAAAGACATTTGTACATCAAAGTCAGAGGACAAAATAGATTTGACTAAGATTTCATCCAATACTTCAGAAGATTTTACCAGTCAACAAAGAAACTTAAGTAGTACAAAGAAAAGAAATGTGAATTTTAGTGTTCCTGAGACAAAAAGTGATAAAAAAGATGATTATTCTTTCTCAGTTTATAATAAAAAAAATGCAGATGGCACAGTTTCTAAAGTCCATGAGGTACCTTCACAGAAATTTCTTAAGAATTGTCCAAATCCTACAGAGAAAACATGTCCCTCAGACATAAAACCAGGAATTGACCCTTCTCTTTTGTCTAATGCAACAGTGCCTTCCAAGCCTGTTTTCCATATTAGGGATATCCATAGGAATTTAGAAAAGAATGACACTGTCGTTGAACTGCAACATAATGAAATATTAAATTCATCTTTTAAAAATTCTGCATGTACTGGTCCTCCAGAATCCATAATTATTCAGAACAAAGTTCCTACTCTGCAAGTAAATAAAACACAGCCTGAAGAAACTGAGTCAGAAGAAAAATATATGAAGGATACACCGAATTCCAGTACTCTGTCCATTGGAGCATCTGGGAACATAACCCTTAATGTGAATCAAACAGCTGACAACTGTTTTTCTGAACAACAAAATAATGAAAATTCAGTAACTCAGAATGCTGCTGCATATTGGACTGAACTGCCACAGTTTTCATGTACCCCAATATACAATTCTTCTGAGCGTTCATTTGGAACTTCATATCCTTACTATACTTGGTGTGTTTATCATTATAGCAGCAGTAACGGCAATTCCATTACCCAGACATACCAGGGGATAACATCATATGAAGTACAGCCACCACCACCTGGGATGTTGACTACAGTTGCAAGTGTACAAAATACACATTCTAATATTATGTATTCTCAATATTTTGGTTATTTTTCTGGAGAACCACAAACAAATGACTTTGTGCCAGTCAGTGGGTACTTTCAATCTCAAATGCCTGTTTCTTACAATTTTCAGCAACCCATTTTTTCACAGTGTGCTTCCCATCAACCATCACCACAAGCTGCATATCCTTATCGTCCTGGTTCAGGTGTGCTTCCAGAAATTCCTTGGACTTATGGTAGGTTTTGCAAGTTTTGGTGCTTGCTTCACTGAATTTTTAACTTTAATCTTTGTATATTTTTGTGAATAGATTTACAAGTAATGTTATTGTGCATTCATTTTTCCTTGAAGATTTGTAGAATTGTTCAAATACCAGGCAGACTTGAGTCATATTGTCAGGCAGCAGGCAGACATTTAGCTGTGAGAGACTGAAAAAGAATTGATAATACCACTACTATGTTCTTGAATGAAGCCTGACATTTTAGGAAATAACTAAATTATAGTAATTCCCTAGCATGAAAAAAGATATAACCATTTAAGCAGTTGTAAAAGTTTTTAATAACATATGCCATATAAGTTCATTTTTATAAGTAAAAAATAGGAATACTGAAATGAAATTCACAAATATTTTAACTAGTCTACCTTTGGTGATAAAATTTTGGGTGTATGGAGTGTTTTTCTCTAATTTCTAGCTATCCTATTGTGAACATAAATTATTTTGAAAATGGAGAGAAAGCAGGTAGACAAAGGAACATCAATCAAATAAAACATTATTTTTCTCTGTATTCTAGTATTGTATCTTTGGTGAATGAAGTTTATTGAAATACATTTGTAGAATAACTCAAAAGTTTGCTACTAGATCTTAAAACTTTTTCTCTTTTATTTTAAATATTATTTATTCATGTATATAAGAGCCGAGGTGCAGGCCATAGATGGCAGGGGTAAGAGGATTCATCAGAGACAAAGTGGGAAGCAAAACTGGCTGATTGACTTAAATACACTGCTGAGGGGAGCAGTAGGTGAGGTAGGAGAGGTCTGCTGCACTAAGTGGGTCACCTCCCTGGCCAGGGATTAAACTCGTGCTTCAGATAGCTTCATAATTCTGTACTTAATAACCCCTTGTGCCACCTGGAAGGCCCTCTCTTTCTCTTTTAAGTTCATTTTGTAAAATACCATGCTTAAAATACAGATTTTTAAAAGTTGAAGTATGTATTTACCAGAACTAAAACAAAAGTTCAAAGCAATAGCTAATCTGTAAAAATTATTTTCTTTTAACATACCATGAAAGGCAAAATGCATTGTAACTAGTCATCTTTTAATGTCATTCAAGACATTCTATTTACAAAAATGCAAGAGAATTAAAAATAGAAGTAGGTCTCCCTGTTGGTAAAGGAGTCTCATCACTGTCAAGCTATCTCCAGCCACTGCGGCATGCGTTTGCTCCCCGGCCAGGGAGATGACCAACATGGCACGGTAGACCTCACCTGTTTCACCTGCTGCTCCCCTCAGCAGTGTGTTTCAGTAGATCTCCCTGTTCTGCTCCCCACTCTGTCTCTGGTGAATTGTCTCACCCCCTCTTTGCCCATCCTACTCCCATACCCCTGGCCTATACCCCTGTTCTTGAATACATAAAAATAAATCTTTAAAAAATAAAAATAAAATTTATTCATCTGTGTTGGATAATAGCCTATTAACATAAATCTAGTTTTAATTAAGTATTATGATCACAGCAATACCTCTACTTTGGAGTTGCCACCAGTTCACTGGAATCTAGGTGATAAAATACTTGAGTTAGAAATAATGGATTTTTGTCACCTCATCACTCACCATTTCCACCTCTGTATTCAAGTCATCATTGAACACTGTTCTTTCATATTTCTGTCCTATTTCTATAGTACATTTTGTGTGTTTCTCACATGATAAGCCATTATGTGAGACTGTAATTATCTATATAGATTACCCTTCCCTCCCTGCTCCACCAAATGAGTTTAAACAGGACTATAAATTTCTCACCTATAAAAAAAAAGCAACTGCAGAAAAGCTATAAAGGAAGAAATAAGCAAGAAAAAAGGTGTGAGAGTATATGGCTGATTTTTCCTTTTTAATTTTATACATTACTACTACTTCTGTTGCAGTGACAGACATACCAAGCATAGCAACTGTGGCAGAGTATGAATTGAAAACATTTTAATTCCAAAGATAAGAAATTTTCAGTATCGTTTTGTTCACTTTATTTCAGTTTTTATATCATTTTTGATTTTGTACATTTTTTCATCTCGGTTGTAATCCCCATGGACTTTCCACCATCACCTCACCCATGTGCCATCACCAGAGCCCCATAGTGTAATTGTTTACAAAGCTTCTCTTGTTTTACATTTGTGCTTCTTTGTGTTCCTAATTAAATGCAATGCCAGAAAGATAGCTCTGGGATTAAGTCCAGATTTGACTCTCCTTAGTATATATTATTCAAATAAAAATAAAAAATTATCTACTTGTTATAGTAACCAAAAATAACTTTCTATAAATACACCTTGTAGTTTTTGTGAATGCATATAACCCATAGAGAGCACGATTACACAGAAACTGCATCCTTATAAAAATCCTTTTAACCTATAATCTATCTTGTTCGTGATCCTTGTATTCAGCACTATAAATTGTACCAAAGGAAGGTGCTAAGTGATCCTATAGGTAAGGCACATTACATACTTTACTCCATTTAATTCTCACAAGATAGTTGAAAGAGATGGAGAGGTCCTGCTGTTTTTGTAAGACCAGTAACTATTCCGTAGAAAGGCTTAAATAACTTTCTCAGGATCCTATACTTAGTATAGGACAATTATACAGGGAAACAATGATCTGTCTAACATAATACAGTTCTTTCTACTATATTATTATGTACCATTAGTCTATATAATTAACTTATCTTAAATCTTTGTGTTTTTTTTTCTTCCAGCTCCATGGCAACAAGAACCCTTTCAGCCAAGACACTGAAAATAGTCTTCTGTCTACTGAAATAAAGGAGATTTAACAAGTTTTTCAAGTATCATTTAATTATATTTTTTATTTTAACATTTTAAAATACATGTAAATGTGGTAGGGAATATAAACCATTAGAATTTTTTACAAACTGTTTAGCTGTAACACTGTATCATAGAATGCAATAGAAAATTAATTTCTGACATCCAAATACCAAATTGTTTCTATGTAATCATTTGAGTGAACTATACTAGGTTATTTTTACTACCTACTAATCAGAAACATTAACAGTATTTTGAAATTCATTTCTTGAAATGTTGCTATCAGCGCTATTACAGTTACATACACATTTTCTTTGAGATTTTCTAATAGAAAAAGGTGAGTAAAAGTAACATTTAATATATTGAGTTTAAAGAACACTAGTAAAATCTTTTTTTTTTAGTAGTAAAATCTTTAAAAACAAGATTTCTCTTTCTGATATTGTGCCACTTATTTAAAGTAAGATTTGAATTTGGATTGATCATTAGACTAATCATTTTATAATTCTTGATATTTTTATTCATATTACTGATAATTCCATTTCTAACAAAAATTCCTTTAACTTCAATATTTCCTAATTTTCACTTTTAAAATATGTTTTAGTATAAGCCAAGAGAACTTGATTTGCCTATTTTCAGCAATTTGTCCTTGCTGAAACTTTTTTTTTAAGTTTTATGCTGAAAGCAACTTCAGATTATTATATTGAAATTTGAACACATTTAACACCTTTTGTCCATAATAGCCCTTTCCTTAAGATTATTTCTTTTGTATTTGTATTGCACAATTTAAACGGTTCTTTTAAACTTTTTGGTACAAACATTAAAGGTTAGTATCTTTAGCTAATGTCCTTAATTTAATCTCTTATTTCAGTAATTTAAATAATGCCCTACGAACAAGTTGTTTGATTTCTTAGCCTCAATGAAAGTAGTTGAAATTGCTGGTTGTCCCAAATACAAGTTTTTTTAATGCCAGGGACATAGATTCTCCTCCCCCCCCCCCCACTTTTCAGCATTCCACAAAAGTGAAAAAACACTCTAGCAATAGTCATCATAGAACAAGTATAGTTTGTAACTATGACCTTGAGCAACATTTCTGCCTCAACAATTCCTGTTTATTGATCCCAATGAGAAAGATCCCTCAGAGCTGAAATAAACCTTTTTTCAAATGCTAGTGGACCCTAAAAAGTGACAAGGTAATTGCATTGACTAAATTTGGAAGATATAGGTAAGATTGCAAATTTTCAGGATTTTCTCAAACTTTTTATGTTAGCAAATATAACATCTAACAACAGGCAGTAAATGAGAATATAATTCAAACAAATTTGTAGAATAATTTTTTAATTTAGAGAAACACTAAGTACCTCAGAGATACATACTCCTGTTTAGTCACATTAACCAAAGGTATGAATTCAGAGTACTTAGAGTTCTTCGCTAACAAATCTTTAAAAAGGGAGAAATCAAACTGTAACTGAAAGAAATAATCCTGAAGACTATATAGAATTAAAGCAGTATCAATATATATTTTTGGTTGACATGATTGTTTTATTTAAAAATAGTTTAAAAATTAGAATTCTGCAACAGGTCTTTTAAAGCAGTAATATTAGGTATTATTTAAAAAATGACCTTACCACAACTATTTGATATATTTTGGATTTGGAAAGATGTTATAAGCTTACTACTAAAAATGTTTCTGTTAGGTAAAACAAAAGTTAAGCATTCTAATTCAGAACTTTCTTTAAACAACTTCCAGATTCTGTCTTCATGCTATTTTTGTTTCGTGAATTTCAATTTCTTCATCCAAGACAGTGAAACACCAGAAACCTTATTTAAATACTGTCATATTGAAAATTTTGCAAATAAAAATTGAACAAATTAAAATTTCAACAAATATAAACAAAACCAGTTTATTTGTAAATACTGCTTAGGAACTTAAAGTAGAATTCTCTAAATAAACTGAATTCCTTCTAGTTTCAAGTGAGTTGTTGTTTTTTTTCCTTTATTATTTCTTGACTAATGAGCATATCTATAGATAGTGGCCTGGTTTACACATGCCCATTATGTGAAAAACATCCCTCAAGAACTAGCTTCATTAGATGACTAAAACTGCTAGTGCTCCTGTCATTATAGCTGCTTTGCCTTAATTACCTCCCTTCATTTTTCCTCTTACAAACTTCATTACTTTCTGGAATTCATTAGAACAAACCAGAGTCTTGTCCTCATGTTCTCATTCCAGCCAAGAGACACAATAAACAAACATGGAAGTAATTTCACATGAAAAGTAATATGTGAACAAAATAATGGAGTAGAGAATGACTAGGTGATACATAAAATGAGAAGTTTGGGGAAGACCTATTTGAAGAGGTCTTTGAAAATCTAACTTTGATTTTCTTATAACTTAATTATACTATTCTTTCTTCATTATGCATAATGTAAAAATGCCTCTAAAACTTAAGCTGTGCTCTGACCAACCATGAAGCTATATCCCAGTGAGATTTCCTCCAAAGTTTTTTTGATAAACTAATATAAACATGTAGAGTTATATAGGAAATGTTTAAATGTCATCATATGTTAGAAAAATATTTTAAAGTCTTTTCTGAACTCATTTATAAATCTTTGATATCAGTATCTTTTTCGTCTTTAGAACTGTTTTGAGCCAGCCTTCCAAAGCATGTCATCCTTATTTCTAAGTTGTTTGAGATAATGTGTTTTAAATCTGTGTACATATAGAAAACTATTTTTGGTTGAGGTCATTTAGGCTAATTTATTCCCAGACATTTCTTAAAAGTTTTTTTTTTTTTTTTTAAGATTTACTTATTTATGCATACAGAACTGGGGTATAAGCCTTAGGTGCAGGAGTAGTGAGAGTATTCACCAGAGATAGAGTGTGGAGCAGGATAGGCAGGCAGACTGAAATACTGCTGAGAGGAGCAGTGGGCAATACAGGAGAGGTCTGCCAAACCATGTGAATCACTTCCCCAGCAGGGGATCAAACTAGTGCAGAAAGGCTAGGTTCACAGTGCTATGCTTTAACCTGTTGTGCCACCAGAGAGTGCCCCTCCTTAAAGTAAGGAAATAAGGTTTTCAATTAATGCTCCAAATGCTTTTCAGTGGTGTCAGTTCTAAGGAGAAAATATATGTATATGCATACGTGTATATACACATGTGTACAGATACACATATACATGTGTGTATATATTCAGGCATAGGTGATATTTTTAAACTATTAAACTTTCCATACTTTTTGTTACATGTCCAAAATTGGTATTTCCTATTCCTAGTTTTTCCCATAGTTTTTAAAAACCTATCAATATTTTCCATTATGACTATATTATGTCTTCCCACCAACAGAACACAAAAGTAACAACTTCTAATCCTCATCAACACTTACCTTTTTTTTATAGTAGCCAACTTAATGAGATGATAGGTTATTGTTCTTTTGATAGTCATTTGCCTAATATTATTGACATAATCCCCAAAGTTCATGTAAAATATATCATTTGACATATTTTCAACCAGTTTAATAATGGGAAAGATATTTTTATCCCCCTAACATGTAACATCTAAAGAACATGCAGCTTAGCTTTAAAGAAAGTCTTGTTATATTCCAAATACTAGTGAACATTAATGTTTCTAAATATCCCAAGTGTCAAAAACATGAGAGATGTCTGATAACACCTACTAATATGAACCTTTCTCAACTACTGTATGTTTGTACTGTTTGTCCCAACTTCTGTGACCGGCTGCAAGAAAGAGAGGCGGGAGGCAGAAAGGCTGAGCAAGCAGTTTATTGCTTCTGGACGGTAGCTGAGATGGAGCCCCTAGAGTGGGGTCCGCAGCTACTGCCAGCCCTATGGGGGAGAGGGTCTCTTATGTAGATTCTAAACTAAAATTCCATCGCTATGTCTCTTGATGTAAAGCCCAGTTCATTATCACCATCTAGTCCCATCTCAAACACAAGGTCCTGTTAATTGAATGCAAGGCCCAGTTTATCACCGCCTTATCACCCTTGGATGCAAGGCCTAATTATTACTGCCCTTAGCCAGTCCCTCAGTAAATCTCCACACTTGGCCACGCCCAACATGTACTAAAAACGTTTTTCCATTGTTAACCTTTCCTGTGTACCCCTTGTTTTGTCTAATATGTGATGAGTCCATTACCACTTAAGAACCCACCAAAGAAAGTTGTGGAGAAAAAAAAGGATGGCACGTATGACAGTGATTATGATAGACTAGAAGATGCTACTATTTTTTAAGTACTTTGCTTAAAAGCTTGTTATTTTTATCTGGATAATTACGGTTTTGTTACATTTTTGGAAATTGGTTGCAGATTTGTGGTGGAGGTACATGTTTACCTTTTAAAAAATTGGTAAGTGAACAACTGTTCATGTGGTATTACTAATTTTTAGGAAAGGATTATTGATTTTTCCTGCATTTGGATCTGAAGAATTAATATATATTTTTGAAATTGTCACAAACTTACTTAAAAGTGGAAATTTTTTTATTCTTCAACAATTTATTCTTAAATTGCTCTTATGTCTCACTACTTTTGACTATTGTAGTTTTTGTTCCCTAAAAAATAATTATTCTATATAATAATAAAACCATCAAAACCAGGAAGTTAATATCAATATATGAGTACCGTCTAATCTTAGTATCCTATTACAGTTTTTCCCATTTGTCCTAAGAATGGGCCGGCTTAAAATCACATGCTGTATTTCATTGCCTAGACTGTAGACTGAGTCATTTCTTTGATTTTTATACTTCGACGCTTTTAAAAATAAAAAGCTATACAATGATCCTTAGTTTGGGTTTGTGTGGCATTTCCTTATGATTACATCTGTCTTGACTCCTCCTCCACATAGTAAAAGCTAGTAAACTAGAATGTGTAGCTAGGAGTAGGAAATTATTTAAGACTGAAAATGCATAAGAAGGGGGACTAAATTGTATTTTACAAGGAAAGTGTCTAATCAAAGAATTC